TCAGCTAAACGGCTGGAGCAGCTGAAAGCTGATGAGAGGGAGAGCAAACAAAGCTACAGCCAAGCAAGAGCACGGCTTCAGCCTAAGCTCAGCAGCCTCGTCCCCTCCCTCTTCCCTGTGCTGCGCAGCCCCCTGGCTCCATCTGGCGCCCCCAGGACTTGGCTGCTCGTGCCCGCTGTAGGGACAGCCTGTCAGTGAATCAGTTTCTAATTTCCCACCTCTTCCTTTGATACGTGCAGTGTTACAGTCTGTCCCAGTCCCTCGCAGGAACGCTGGGTTTGTGCTCCCCAGCTCCTCCTCCCCTTGCCGCTGCCTGCTTGGTCGCTGCAGCCACGCTGCTTGCATAAGCTGATGTGTTCACTGCGTAAATCTCAAGTCCTTTTTCTTTGGAACAAAAAAGACATCGCAGAACCACACTTCCCTACAAAACAAGGCTGTCATTCCCACCGAGTCAGCAGTAGCCTTGATGTAGTTTTAGCTATTAAAGTGCGCTGGGTGGTACCAGGAGAAATTCATTTTTGTGCTGCAAAACTTTTCAGGAGCTTCCTTTGAAGCCTTGATTGAGGTCAGGGGCTGCAACCTCTTGCACCATTTCCATGTCAGCCTGCAGCACTCTTTGAAAGCCCTTACACTGGATATCCTGACAAATAGCAGCTCTTTGTTCATTAGTTTACGCTCGGTAATAGATGTGAGGCCAGGTTCGAGGATGGCTCTCAGCAAGTAATTCACACTCTGCTGCACTAAGGTTTGCTGTGGCTCAAGTAGTTGGAGACAGTACAAATCTGCTTTCAAGGGTTTTTAATTAAAACAGCAAGCTAAGGATGGGGTGACTTCAGAGCATCCTGATTCCACAAGGAATGACAAGAACACAGCTGCTTCTAAAATAAATTAATTACTGCCCATTATCTTACAGGTACAAAACTCATCACGTGAGGAAGGCAGTTCTGTAAACATGCGAGCATTACCGCAGTACAAGCACCATGCTGAGTGACAAGGTACACTGGAAAAGACTGAGGTTCATACCACTTTACACTGTTTGGGGGGTTTTAGGGCAAGTCAGGTCAATGACCTGTCCCAGTGCACCCTAGCTCTACCAGCCCGTTTCACTCTGACGTTGCAACATCAAACGCTGGCGTTTGCCAGCTCCTGGCAAGCACTCAGCACACGGAGGTGAACAGGAGCCCCCTCTGCAGTGAGGCACAAGATCACCCTGCACAGGGTCACCTGGACTGGTGTACTCTGCACAGCTATGGGTTTTAATATTTAAACATCCAGTTAAAAAAAAAAAAAGGAAAACGTTCAATTTGCGAAGCAGATGTAGCTGGTGCACTAGATAGCCCTTCCTCTACCCTCACATTTTTCTGCCCAACACAGTAACTGTTTCATATACCACATCCAGTCCTAATGCTTTGTACTGTACAACTTCCAAGAATGATAGGACAGGCACACTTCTACTCCTGGCCCTGCCCACAAAGTGTTAGAGCAGCTAGCAGGAGAGGTATAAAGCTGGGCCCTTCAGGGCTGTCCTAACTTGTTTATGCCTGGGTTTGAACTGGCCTCCCAGCAAAGTCCTTGGCACAAAGACATCCTGCCAAGAGTCTCTACCTTCCTTCAGCTTCCTCAAGTTCTTATTCTGGAGCCTCCAAGCAACTAAAACCAAGTTTTCCTCCAGTTGCTTCTTCCGTGATTTTGGAAACTTTCTGATGTTGATTATTATTTATCTGTTTTTCCCCAAAGAAGAACCTACAAAGAATCCTTCTTCCCACCAGAGAAATGTAAAATCAGTAACTTTCTACTTTGTTTTAGCTTTTCCCATGCTTGCAGTACAGACCCCAGCTGACTCAAGCCTGTGGCCGCAGCCCTGTTTCGTACTCTTTCCACCTAATGCAGCGTGGTATCCTGTTTGCCATCCTTCCTGCTGCTATAGTCCATTAGGCTGATAGCGTCAGTTTTTCCACTCAAACTCCCACATCCTTTTCCTGATCAACACACTGCACAATTGTTCCATTGACTGCACTCTGATGGGAAAACCTTATTGTGCCTGAGCATTGTCCCACAAAGAAAAGGGAGGGTTTCCTTCAAGCCTATGCTAGAGCTGTCTGTGAATGCACCACTACAGCATCCTCAAATATTCAAAAAATAAGTCATATTCCTGAGGAATATTACTTTATAGTATTTCCTCCACAGCATCACTTGCACATAAACACTAAATGATCTCAGCCTGTAAATGTACAGCAAGATGCAGATACTCACAGAGCACTAACTCCTGCCTGTGTCCCAGCCCCACCAGTCCCTGTTTCCAGCTGTGTCCTAGTGCAGCTACCACCAAGCAGCTCCAGCTCCTGCTCTCCTCCTACAGCCCATGTTTCCTTCAGCCAGGGTCATCCTCCATGCTGCACGGGGCATCTGCTGCCCCTCCACACAGCTGCTGCCATTAGCAGACTGTGAGAGCCCTGCTGGCAAAGGCCATTCCCCTCTGCTGCTCCCACAGCAAGGCTTCCCCCTGCCCCAGGTTTATTTAATAATCCCTTCTGGTGGGGAGATTGGCAGATTTTCTGCTTGTTAGAGAGCCAGCGTGACATCTTCACCTGCACTGCCTGATCACAAAGGGAGGATCTGGCTGACCAGCTCCCAGGTGAAGGAAAAGCAACCCAAACTACCCATTAAAAAGGAATTGCATAAACAGTATCATCCCAGAGCAATCATTACACAGCAAAACCTGTGAGCTTCTTGTGCAGTGTAAAATGAGACCATTACGAGCTACGTACCTGTGCCCAGCCTTCCCCCTGTCTCCACATGTCCAAGTTTAGGGCAGCAAAACCACTGAGCTGCACGGCATCGAAGGCAGCACCATCACGGCAGCAGCTGCAGTTTGCAAGGACACCAGGAGCAAAGTGAGGGGTGACAACAGCCGAACTGGGTAACAGGGAATGAGGTGAGCAAATTAAATGCAATCCCAACCTCAAATGTTTCTGCTGGTCAAAGAGGTGAGGTGAGGTGAGGTGAGGAAGGGGAGAGAATTGCTCAGGTACTGGCAGGGGCAGTTGGAGCAAGGCCCTCCCTCAAAGCAGCCATTGAGGCACCAATTACCTTCTCCTGTTGAAAGCTGCAGCCACAGCCCAGGATTGTGAAGGAAACGAGTCTCATGAGATGGTATGAATTTGAAAAATCTTCACAAAAAACACACCTCTGTTCAGCAGAACCAAGGCAGACTGGCGTTATCTGAACATCCAACCCAGACCGTGTCATGATTTACTCTTCAATTTGCATCCACTCTCCATTAACTCAGAATCCTAATGATACCTGTTTTAAATATTCAAATACTTATTCAGATTTCAAGCAGGCTCTGAGCACCACCCAGACTGACTCATTAACTGAACATGTGAAACAGCAACATACTTATCTGTATTATTAAAACTTCATTCTTGACATATTCTTTGTCACTCAGATCATTTAAGGACTTAAGGACTGCAAGGCTGTGGAAAACAAATAATCAAACCTAAGAAGTGCCCCGTGTTATGAAAGATGACAGGACAGGCTCATAAATGCCAAGATGAGAGAGATCTCCAAGGCAGATAAGAAACTGCGGGGAATAAGCTAGTTGTTTGGGATAATAAATCATTCACTGCAAAAAGATGCAGCTTGAAGTTGAGAAGAATCATTCAGAGAACTCAGGTAACATTTGATCAGGAAAATAATTGCCTCAGTGGCACCAGAAAAGACCTAACTTCTTATAGCGAGGAGGGATGTCTAACCCCCCCTTTTATTTTTTTCAAAACAGGGACAAATTGACATCAGAACTGCAGGTAAATACGCTTTATAGAACTCCAGGATAGCAACTAAATTCAGGAGGGGAAATTCTAACTGTGCCTTACTACTCCAGCTATCATTTTTCCTTGACTTGAGCAATGGTCTCACCAGATATGAGAGAAATCTCTGCTTCAGCCCTCTCAGATGTCACCTGCAAGTAACAAAAAACAAACAAACAAAAAACATTTCTGTGGCAGTACAGAATTTGTTTCACCAGCAGCTTAGGAGTACAACTGTTGCAGTCAAATCAAGTGTTTTGACTCTAATTAGGAGGGTACCGAGCATATGCTTACCCTTAAGCACCTGCGTGGATATCAAAGAAAAACTCTGCCCTTTGCACTTGTAAATGAAATGAAATAGGCAGAATTGTAGTCTAAAAGAGCAAGAGTCTACTGTAAATTGACTGTAAATCGCCTTGTGAGACATCAGGGAAATATCAGACACATGGAAGAAAGGGCAGACTCCCAGTGTAAAGCATGTTAAAATGCAAATGAAAGTCAATGGGTGGCAGACCTTCGTGACTCCCCTCTGATCCTTCTCATTATATGCATCCTCGTATTGCCACTCATGGCTTTAAACTGTAGATTTTGTTTTCTTTAAACAGCTTGCAGGTTGCACCGAGAGTTACTCCTTTTAGAAAATACCTGAACTCCAGAGCACAGATATGTTTCCACCTCTGGTAAACTGCATCCACAGAATTAGCATCTGTGATCCAAACACATCAGCATTGTGTACCGTGAGACTAAACAGGTTCCTGGAGGACAGTTTCCCCACTGGCTATGCTCATGCTGGACTAGATGCCTGGATGCTGGCTCTGGACCTCACCGATTCCTGGCAAGCCACCTCCTGATGGCACAGTGGAAGACCACGCGCTAGGGTCACAGCCCTTCGAGTGATCAGGACAGCACTTCTTATCTTCTTCAATATGAAGTTCAATTTTCTGCATCTCTAAAAGACAGGTATGATATTCTGATTTTATAGTTAAAATACAGGTATAATAATATTCTTATTTTGTAGATTAATACAGTTTTGAACACCCAGACAACCAGTTTGCTCCAAATCGTGACTAGATAGCAGCACTCGCATTCAGAACTTGTGGTCTCCGCATCCAGGCACCTGTCCTAACTGCTGCAGCAGCAGCTTCATCACTGACACAAGCGTATTGACAGAACACACAAGAAAACATGCTCTGAAGCCAGCTGTTACATGGGCATTATTTATTGCAATGCAGTCTTAGCACTTTTAAATATAAACAGTTATATCTAGAAAGCAGAATATTGCAAATTCAGTATTATTCAATATGTTCATAGCAGCATCAGCTTCCTAAGAAACAAAATATTTAGGAAGACAGAGAAGGAATTACAAACGAGTTACACTTTCATTTATCACCATTAGACGGAAACACGGTATTGCGGCTGTGAAACAGATATTGAAGTCACCAAATCTGACCTTGAAGACACGAGTAATTTCAAGACTGAAATGCGTCATTATACCTGATATCCTGCACATTTTTGGTGTGCCTAGACATAAGGCTAACAGTCAAGTGCCTGAAGAGGGCAGATGATCTATGTATCTGCACTACCTGACATATTATAGTTTTAATAACAATACACAGCACTTGTATAGCACTCACTGCTCCCCCAAATCCTCATGAGACAGGCAAGGATTGCTCTCAGATGTATTACAGCTCTGGAGCATAAGGGAGAAGGAGGGAAAGTGACTTGCCAAGGCCATTCAGTGAGCAAGTGGCAGTAGTGAGATTGGAATTTGTCAGCATCTGACTTCCAATCTCGTATCAGTCTGGTAGGTCACGCTGTTCCTCTGTGTTTCACTTAGGAAGTTTTATAAATGACTAATTGGTTAGCAAGTCCCAACCCATGCAGCGATACTGGATGCATGCAGCATTTGGAAAGAGGTCAATACAACTGCTCCCCTCGTAATGCCCATTTTGGTTTGAACACTTCTTTCATTTTCTCATCTCAGGATGATCTGTCAAGCGGAAGATACAATGACACAGCTGCACTTTGCTCTAAAGCAGTGGAAATCAGAAGCAATCGCTAAAGGAGCAGGAGCAGCTTTCATTTCTTTCCTGAGGGAGAGCACTGATCTTTTGAGAGGAAAAAAGGATGGATATGTTTTTACACAAACTGATCAAACTACTTTTCATTCTAAACGAATACAAGACTGACTGAAAGTCTCAGGTGTACTAATTTTCTTCAGCTAAGTCATCCAAGTGTACACTGTGAAGGTAGCAGCTAATAAAACAGTTATCCAGGAACATCAGAAGCCATTTTCCTTTCCTGACAGGCCTTCACTTCTACCAGCTAAGAGCAAGAGCACTTACAGTGACATCTAAAAGGACTTGTAAACATCATGAGACAAGCCATCTCTGATATTCCTCCACTAAAGTAGTCCTTTCTCCTGCACCCCCAGAAAGCTAACAAGGATAACCAAGCCTCCTACCATCCCTGCCTCAAAAGAGGAAATTTGCTTAGTTGTTTTTTCTCCCACTGGATTTCCTCTGCAAAATTTGAGAGGCAGGATCAAACACGCCAGTTATTAGGGCTGGAGTCTGGCAGAGACTCCTGGGGCACAGTTCATGTGCTGCGAAATGTTCACAACAAACGGCGGCTGCACTGCAGAATTGTCTCTGCATACTCATGGCTTCATTTGTAGAGCACAACAGCCCAGTGCTGGCCAAATTACACCAAAACGTACAAGCAGGAATTGTGAAGGCTACCTCCCATTTTGAGAAGTTATCACCCAGTAAAGTAATTCCTCTCCCCTCCTGTTTTGTGGCCTGCTTTCCTACTTTCAGCATGCTGTGAAAGCCTGTGGTTGGGAAAATGTACAGAGAGGTACGTATTATATTTACGGTAGACTACACACAATTTATTCTATCAAAAAAAGTCATCATCCAGTGCATTAATCCTGCAGTGCCCGTATGGAGGAAAAGCACCGGTCTGCCTTGCATCTCTCTTCCCAAGTGGCCTCATTTTAATTCTGCCCAGGCTACTAACAGGTAATAAATGGCAGCAAAGGATGCTTTTCTAAAGGAAGCTTTTTAACCAGCACATTTCTATCACGTAACAAATGATGCTTTTTCCTGCTGATACATCAGCAACATCACAGTAAAAGTTGTGATGAAAAATACAGAAAAATCCACCTACTCAGATCTCGCCACTAAGTACACTGCAGCTTCTTGAACAAGACTGGAACAAGATAAAACGACAACACATCATGAACCATTCTTTTTGCCATCTTCTTATGGGTGAAGATAGTAATACCAAGAAAACTTTGCATGGAGATAATGCTGTAGACATCTGATTACTACATACTGGATTTGCTTCTCTGGAAGCTTTCACTATAAGGTTAGATTGTTTATACTCAAGTCTACAAACTGACCCATGTCTCTCTGAGCTCTGTTCTTTGTGTGTGCCTAACTCACTTAGGGTTTTGTCCTGCTTAGACCAACCTCTTAGCAAGCCTGGAAATTCTGGGATAAATAGCTTTGAAATAACTACCTCACTCTAGGGAGATCATCTTCCTTCACTAGAAGGGAAGTATTTTTTTTTAATCCTCTCCTTCCAGTGGAGGCTTCACACATTTCCATCTGTGCACCTTGTTAATATCTTGAGAATAAAGATTTTGGTATTCAACACCTTAATTACAATAACATGACCTTTAGTCACCATATCAGTCAGTATCACATAATTACACAAATTGTATAATCCCTTCATTTTTAAAAATCACTTCTAGTACATGTTAGCCTTTTGTAATGTCTCAGCAAAGGCAGTCTTAGGATTGCTACACCACAAGCTTCCAATTTTTAAGCCAATGTCAAGAAGCAAAAGTGTGAACCGAAATAGTTCCAGGCTGTGGAAGGCGCATAGTCTAGCATTTCTATTTTACACTTTGCAATGCAGGAAGAACAGAAAACATCTTTATATTAATTCACAGGATTTTGCAGTTATGCTTTGAGGCAGACACAAACATATTACTCAACAGAGTCTCAGAAAAGAGCTTGCCTGGCTGAAGGAATCTCTGCATCAGTGCTACTGCAGCAGTGCTGCTGCACTGACTGAATGGCTGTAGCACTGAGCCTTGCAGCTTTATCCACTTGAAAAGCTTTTAGCTTAAGCTAGTGGTTCTTACCTGATCTGTTTAATTAAAGACAGAAAGTTTACCTGGATATATATAACTTCAGATATTTGTGTTTTCAGAGTTTCCTGACCCTCCTGCCTTCCCGTTTTCTTTCAAGACTTCAGAGGAAATCAGTGTTTCCACCTGGCTCATTTAAGTCAGTCACTGAGCAATAGAAAGGGTAGCATGGGGAGCATGTTGGACAGAACATCGTATTAAGAAAAATTAGACATTTTTTCTCTATTTCTTTTTTTCTGAACACTTCTTCACCCATTGCAATTCATAAGTTCACGTGAGTGGTTGCAACAGCAAACTGGGAAAACCTAGCACTTGGGAAGGAAAAGAGTAGAAAATAAATTGAGTTTACTGCAAAAGACCCAAGATAGATAATTTTTCTGACCAAGCAATTTCAAAAGTCTGCTGCTATTTTCACAGAGAATAGCATGAAAATGAGGAATAATCTAAGGCTATCTGGACACAAAATGAGACTGGGTAACTCTCCTGAAGGAGGGGCAATAAGAAAAAGTGGGCAGCCAAGCCTTCTCCTGCTGAGACCTGCCCCTGCTTCCGAATGATACAGAAGTGAAAGCTGCATCAGAAACAATGAATCCAGCAGCTGAAAAACCAGAGGCAGATAGAAAACTATTGCTCTTGACTATTTCAGTAATCAGCTGGTAAGAACATGCTAAGCATCTGTCTCTAGATCAGAAAATTTTCAGGCAATTACCAAGCAGGACTAGTCAGTTGAGAGAAGAAACTAAAACCCACACTTTCTCCAAGCTTTCTTCCTTTAGCATTACCACAGCCGTTTTTAAGAATTGTTTGATAAAAATGAAACACCTGTGCAGAAGTTTCCCAAGAAATAATCCCAGTCATGATACTCATAACTGTGAGACTTTGCTCCCTAGTGAACTATGTTGGCAATTACAGGGTATGTGATAATACGGCAAGAAATACCTGTGACAGCACAGCTTAACTCCAAGACTATCTCATTATGTCACTTTTGCAGCTGGCATCGTAACATTTCACAAGTTTCATGTCTGCTATGTTAGAAATTATTCCAAAAAATTCTCAAATTATCACAACACTTCTAAAGTAGTTCAGAAAACTTTGCTCGTTGCAATAATTTGGTACCTCACAATAAATACGCTTTAGGAATCGCTGCTAAGCATCAGGCTGAAAATGTCACGTAAGAACTGAGCAGAATGCTACCAGCATATTGATCCTTTGAGGTATTCTTTATACTCAGCTCAAAGCTTTTTCACTCACACAGCTCTTTGTTTCTTAAGACTGCCTCCTGCTCACATCACCTTCTTTGCAACATTGCAGCAACAGAGGAATGGCAAAGGCAGACAGCTTTTTGAACAAAGAACCGGGATTTTATGCTGAGTTTTGAAAAGGAAAAACATGGCAAGAAATAACCAGAAACAACAAAAAATAACAAAGTAGTTTTCTTTTTTTTCTTTTAAACATGTACATGGATATTTAAGTGAGGTAGAAGACCACTTCAGAACATCACATTCAATTTTATTTAAAGAGCAACTTTATCTGAAGTATTAAACATGCAAGTGACAACACACATGCAGGATCACTTGCTTAGTCACAATCAAATACTATGTTTCAAAGAGACAAAGTTCATAAAACAGCATTTTGATAATGGGCCTTAAAATGATACGGTATCTGAAAAAGTAGGAAAGAGGAAGACTCTTTGAAAGATCTGAAGTTATAGAGGAGCCTGTATTTGGGAAGCAGCTTGGAAATACTGAGAGAAGTGGATAGGAAAGTAGGAAAGAAAAGAAGAGCCACCAAACAAACCATTAAACCTAAAATAGAAGAGAGAACTTAAACCATTTCCACAGATAAGAAAACAATGAGAAAAGAGGACGAACACTTTAATAATGAGGTAGAGGGTAAAAAAAAAAAAAAAAACAAAAAAAAACATACGGTCTAGTTCTTAACCAGGTTTGTTGACTAAGGTGATGATTTTGGAAGAACGGATCAGTCATGATATAAAAATCAAGGCACAAACGCAAGTCTAAGCACCAGCATTTTTCATAAAACCTAAAAAAATAAACTTGTAGATGTGAAACAACAAACACTTGTTAGATTTAAGAGGAAAAAACCTTCTGATGAAAGGAAACACAGATTTCTAATAGAAACTGCAAACTTGGTGAAGTATCAGCTGGCAAGGAAAGAGGGCCATAAAACTGCAAGAACATTCAAGGTAGCTGTATCTTATTTAATGCACAAGGATAACATAGGCAGACAAAGACAAATAGAAATCTGAGGTAAAGAAAAGCAAGAATTCAATGGGATGGCATAGTACATAGGCCTGAGTGGGAGATATGACACCCTTTGGTCAAGTACAAAAGAGGAGAGGTGTCAAAATCAGTAGCCTTTGGCATTCATGAATGGAAGAGGCAAAGACAGTCATCCCATGAAACTGAAATAAAACCAAACCAGTCAGAAAGCACAGGGGAAAAAAAAAAGAAAAAAAAAAAACCACAACCAAAACCAAAATGATGAAAAACATTCATCTGCAATAAAAGCTGCTGAGAAGTCAGGAGCAGAAACAAAGGCTTTGTTTAAAGGGACTGGAAGGATTCTGGTCAGCTGTCAAGCGCACAGGAAGCCAACCAGGGAAGGTTCAGAAAACCAGGACAAATAAGGGTGAATAAAAGAACAATCTTCCTAAACCATAGTTTAGAAAGGAACATACCAAGGAGACAAAATACTGAAAGGAGAAGGGAAAAAGGGAGCTGGGACAACAGTGGACTACAACCATACAAACAAGAACAGCACGAAAGGAGAGGAAGCAAAAACCTCCAAGGGAAGAATCTTTTCAGTGCCTAGTTTCAGTTCATAGTCAGAAGGGATTACAGCAATGTAACAATGTATAAGAAATTGGAAATATTCTTTTTTTGCCTCTACAGTACTTTTTAATCTGAGGCACTTTTGTCCCAGTCTGAACTTGGATTTGCAGCTCAGGGGCTGAGCTGATCAGTCATCCAAGCCCCATGTCATCTGAAACGTCGACATAAAAGTTTCAGGCTCCCCCAGAGGCATACAAGCTGCTCTGCGTGTCCAGGAACTCCTGCTAAATGATTTCTGTAATTCACCCAAGCACCAGACATATTCCTAATGACAAGCAAGCAATATGCTGCACTTGAAGCAACAGAAATACAGCTTTCAAGAATGCAGTCACTCAGTTCAAGGACTTACAACCTCAAAATGCAATAAAACACTTGCTATAAAGTACTAGAAAGTTCTTCTACCAATTGTCTCATCAAACCACTGTCCTGGCAATTTCACATCTTCATCTTAAACACAGGAGCTGCTGCAAAGCCTAAGGTGGTTGAGATGAATCCAGGAATAGCAGTGTGAAATCTAGTGTCCTTTGACATCCAAGAGAACAGGCTAGATAATGTAACAGCTTCATTTTCTCTCAAACTTTTCCATGTAGCTCTTGGAAAGCAGTTTATACCTGCAGAAGCCTGAGCTGATCTGCAGCAGTTTAAGAACAATCATAAAATAAAAGCACTGATGAGGCGAGTTTGACTTTTATACTTCATAACAATTTTAGGCACACCTTCAAAGCTCAGTTCAGCTGGAACAAGGTGATGCATCATTCATACAGATAGGAAAGACTAGTGGAGATTTCTGCTTTCTGAGAACAGCTGAAGACAGAGCACCTCTAGTTTCATTAGAGGGAACTCTAAAGGCGTTTAGATACAGTACAACTGTGCTCAGCACAAATGCTTATATCTGAGAAGTAAAACTATGTCTTTGTAAACTTCACTATCACAATAAGAACCAAATGGGTGAAAGATAAAAGTACAACTTTCCATACGCACCCACAACATTCACAGATAAACTCCATAAAAGGAGGTCCCTGGATCAGCTACGTTAGCTGCTTGCTGGTGACGCACAGCAAAAGCACAGCATTACAAATAGAAGCGTAAGCATTGACATTGGAAACAAGTTAAAATCCTACAATCGTTCACAGAAAAAGAGCAGTCCAATTAAGGGAAGAGGTCTTCTATCACACAGGGCTTTACAGAGCTAACTATGAGGAGGCTAATAGCCATCAGTAGTATGTCACTCCACCTTTTTATAGACTTGTTTCAAAATGCCTGTCAGAATTATGTCTGGAAAAGAAGACATCCACATAATGGTGGTAGATAAACTGCTGGTTTCATTAGCTATTTTCTCTTGAGATTACTCAGAACACGGAAAGTAGCATCTGTGATTCATTCTAGGTGGAGAACTAATGTTAAGATCCTTAAATGTATGCCACAATTAGCTCCTATAACTGAGTAACCCAACACTCCCCACCAATCCTCTTGACGTTGCTTCGTTTTACTTTGAAGGAGCAGTGGGGCCTGTGTTTACCTCCCTTGTCTCACAGAATAAAACTGTGCTGCTGACATTGTCCCAAGACCCCCAGCATAGATCAGAGGAGGCTGCTTTGGCAATAAGCTCAGGGTGCTCCAGTTAGAAACACTTCCCCTACCTTGTTAGGGTAATGGGAAACCAGTCACAGTACCATGATACTTAACGAGAATGCTAAATAGTAACGAGAGCTGCAGCGGCAATTCATGCTATCAAATAAATACACTGGTGAAGGCTCAGCCTAGTTAATGTGCTAAATGGACAAGCAAGACGTTCTCTCCTCGAATAAAAATCTGGTTTATGTGACGCGTGAACACCTGTTGATAATCCACTTTGGGCCTCCTTTTTCTTCGTGACTGGCTTCTTGCACGTGTACCACCAGCACTGGCACCCTCTGTGTGAGCAGTCCCGCTCCCCACATCAGCTTCACCTCTGACTGCCAGATGCAGACTGTCACCTGCTGTCTTCTTTTCTCCAGCTCTGCCCAAGCGCTTCTGCCTCTCACGCTCATCTTCTGCTCTCCCTCGTCCCAATCCACCTTTCCATCCGAGCATCTGAGAGTCATTTGTCAGGGCCAGCTCCCCCGAGACAGTCTTTGAGTCAGCTCCCTTCTTTACTGAGGACTCCTGCAGTTTGAGTCTGTCAAACAGCTGTAAAGGAACATTTGTGTATATGACCACATTCATAAAACAAGAAAAGCTTCGTGTTCTGCATTTCATTTGAGTATATGATCCCAAATCAGTTCTCAAGATGCCCAGCTGGTGAAGAATCTTTACCAGGAATAAATACTATATTTTTTGGCTAAATCAAGCCATGACGTAAGGTAAATGGATCTCCTGCACATTCATAAGCATCTTTACGTGAGCATCAGGGAATTTAATTTGGGGAGCAATGCTGATATGCTGTATCATTTAACTTTGGTCAAGAACAACAGAAAGCTACCAAGTTGGTCCATTAGCTCACTTTCCCCAAACCTCTTGTACTGTTCTCAAACTGTTTTAGAGAGCTTCCCACCCTTGTGTCCTAAGGCAGGACACGAATCCCTAAGATAAGGGGCGTCAAACAGCAAGGAGTATGTGCTGAAAAAATGACACTTCGTGCTCTCCAAACAAACTGAAGGAGGCCACTTCTGGGAGGTGAGCAGGCCAAAAACAATAGGAAAATAATAAAAGCTGCAGCAGCAGGCCCAAAGCACGGGATGAACTCATTAATCTGGGAATACATAGCACAGAAACTGCGAGATAAACTGCTTTTACTCTGGCAGCAGGCAAGCTTTGATGAAATGCTGACAAATGAAAAGGATTCTTGGTTAAGCTGTCTCTTCCTAACAACAGGATGGAAAGCCAGTCCCTGTGACAGTGGGCTAAGATGAGCAATGACAACTGGATTATTTTTAACTTTGGAAGAGTGGGATCTGTCAGAAAATAGATTTAAATGGCAGGAATCTAAAAGCAAATTCTTTGCAATGAAACCGTTAAAAAGTTTTTGTGGTGCCTCCCTGATGTTCAAAAGGCCCCATGCTATGCCATTCAACAGGCACAGCCCTGCCATATTTTTTTCCTTCATTGTTCGGAAGTTAATCTATCATATCTTCAGTTTTCAACTTTGTAAACATTTTTTTTTTTTTGCAGCTGGACCCAAAAAGCATCTTGCTTTGGAGTGGCATAAAGAATCTTGGGCTTGCTTCACAGTAGCAAAACTAGAAGTTCAAGTGACCAAACATTCAGTACCATTGACTAGAGACAAGGACTGCCACTCCGTGAACTTCACTATCAGAGTTATGTGCTGCCAAATCACCTGACAGAACTGCATCAATCACAAATGAAAAAAATAAAAATAACCAACTGTTCTACCAAATTAGTTAGAGCACAAAATACTGGATCTATGCTGGCCTTATGTTGGCTATCAGAGGGCAGAAAATAGTTCCAGCGTAAAGCCAGACAGTACAGGACAAATCAAAAACCACACGCTGAGCTTATAGAAGATCAGCGTGTTGTACTAAGCAGTGGCAGCAATTGTGATCTCATATTAGGAATTCTAAAGCGGAACTTCTGTAACAGAGAACTATGGCCAAAGCACTTTCAAAAAGGTCAGAATGCTTCTTTTTCAGTTCAAGTAATTTTAGTGTCATCTGTACTAAAAGGAGGTTAAATATTTCAAATATAAATATAGCTTTCCAGCCAATGCTCCCCTTTTACTGCTTTGAAAACTGGGATATTCCAAACATTAAAACATCAATGGTTACCTACCCGGGTTAGTGTGAGCTGAGGTTCTGCATAGAAAGCTTTGCCCAGTACTGGTTTCCTGTATGTCTCATCCACGTCTGTCAGGGCCTAGAAGATTAAAGAAATGGAAAGTTCAAAATTATAAAAAGACACAAAGAGACTTCAGGCTATCTTTGTGCCATAGCATTATGAAATTACACTCAGAGAAAATCTGTCCTAGGAACAAGCTGTTCTTTGGAGCTGGCTTCGTATCAGCTAAGTTGTACTGAGGTATAAAAGCAACAGCAAAGCCTAGCATCCATTCTGCGTTATTTACAAAATCCGAGCCTCGCCTGCAAAATCCTTCTATTTTTTCCACCAATTTCCAAGCTTGTCACACCCCTAGGCTCAAAAATTTGTAATAGTTGCTGTTCCAGCCATTGTCTTTAAGATCTTCATATGGTAGAACAAAGGCAAAGCTGACATACAAGCGACTTGTTGGTGAAAGAAATCAGAGAAGTGGCTACCACTATAAGATTGGAATATGCAGAGATATTTTTGGAAGCTTCTGGTATTCATATATCACCTTCCTGGGTTCTTACGTAAAATCTCTGAAGCTGCTGTGTACTCCTTCACCCTCACCTAGTCTATAACACCTAGGTATCTCCCAGACATACCAATTCAACACCAAGCAGAAGTCTGAAACCCAGCACTCAGTGCAAGAGCAAACAAGCATTTACGGACCACAAAATCACATTAATCTTCTCAAAATGTAATTTGTTTAAAACTGTTGCAAACTTCAAACGTTCAATATAGCAGTTACAAACCAAGGGCTTGGAACAGTCATTACCATATTCCAGAACTTGTCAAATGCAACCAAAAACCCTGTGCAGACTCCACGAAGCCCTTTGAAAGTGCGGATATGAACATTAATTTTTACGCCATCTCGGACGCAGCGATGGAGCTCCCCAAGGGGGCTGCCTTCGTGGACTAAAACAGAAAGAGAACACCGTCAGTCTTCAACAAAATACATTCATAAAGAAAGTTATATAGAAATACTTCACTTTACTGTGGAAGTAGAGCAGATCTTGGTACAACACAAGTTTTCACAGCAAATGAAACCAGAAGCCCCAGGGCGGTGTGATGTACTGTGGCTGTAATTACTAGATCACCAAAACACTTTCTACAGTGTGGACAGCAAAGGCTTTAAAAAATACAAAGGTTTTCCTTTACTTAACATATATCCAAATCAACCTTAGGTGAAAATCTAAGTCTCTGTGCTGTCTTTGGCCCACTGATAACAAACTCAGAGATCCATCACAGGAAACACAGGTGACAGTCACTATACCGGACTGATGCTTTTAATCGGACACAGTATTGTTTCTAGCCAACCCTGAGAATTTACAGGATCCTTTTAGATTTAGGATTTTTAGAGTTCCGATTTAGATTGCTATGTTTCTTTTACACAAGAACTTTATCTCCAACTTTTATAAAAAAGTAGAATCAAGTAGAACCTTTATTTACAACTATGCCTTGGCTTGTCAGCACCCCATTAGACCTCACGGAAAACAGTGCTTTGCAGCTCTACCTGGGTAATACAGCTCTACCTGCATTATCCATCCTGTTCCTATTCTTTCTAGCTGCTCTGCGGCAACTGCTTGCACAAGTTCTTTGCCCCTTGGTAAATATGAGATGATTTGAAATTGCTTCTCCTGAGCTGATTCCAAACAGGCACTGCCAACTCCTCACAACGGGCAAAATTTTGAGTCCATTTTACATTTCTGACACACAGAATTTAAGAAACAAGCCTACCCGTTATCATAGCTGCCTGAGAGCACAGCAACACAACTGTGGGACTCAGTAAAGCATGAGCCACACATATTTTACATGCATCCAGAGGCAGCTATTGCCTTAGGATCCAAGCTTCGAACACAGGCCAATCTGCTATGCAGACAGGCCCCCTAGTTGCAGGGAAAGCACACAGTTTTGAAAAAAAATAAACTGTTTGGACTGCTGAACAGCACTGTAGATGCCAGTCGAGCCAGTCTTCTTCAAAGTCCATGCTGTCTCATCTTAGATGTGTGGATATTAAATATGTGCTCGTAATGGAAACATGTAACCTTCTCACTAGCCCACCGCTACAGTTAATTTTCACAGTGCATTTTTTCAGTTTCAATCACAGTAATCCAAATACAAATTCTTTATACTAAGATCCCGAATCAATATTTAAGGTCAATTATATTGGAAATCCTACTTAAACAGACCCTCTGCATTTGTGGAAAACCCTCAACTGACATGAGACTGCGGATCATACAGCACCTCTGGACAGGAATACGTTGTTTTGGTGTCTGAGCAAGAAAAAGGTTCTGCTTTAGGCACTCAGAATTGAACATTTTGGGCATTGTCTTTTTATAAAGAGCATTAAGGTGATGCTAGTGATGAGAAGAGATACTTTGACTGCAATAAACCTGCAGTATTTTTAATTAAGCGCACTAAATTTGCATCCCATTTGGTTCTTGGTGTGGGCCCACAAGTCGCACCCCTTACGTTCAGGGACTATTTCCCTGACTGCGTATGGAAGTTTACACAAGAAATTTGTATCATCCCCACAGACGATGAATTTATCATCACAGCTCCCTCCTGCCTCAACCCGCTGCTCTATCATCGCGTCAGCACAAACACCAGCGCTGCATTTACCCCCCCAGGATGCACATTTAGTAGCCGAGAGAGGACAGTGGGCTGCAGGCTCATGCTGTGGTTATCACTTAACTCCTTGCTCCATGGGCTGAAATCTGCTTCCAGGTTTCAGAACAGCACTTCTGGAAGCACAACACTTTCTCACCCTTCCTTTCCATTAAGATGATGGACGTGACCAACCAACTGACCAAGGAGGACGGCACCACAGCACCAGGAGCATCACCCCCAGTGAGCATTTTTTGTTCAGCATTTCACCCAGCCCACCGTCCCCATTCGCCCCTGAGCTCCCTCAGTCCCTCTCCATGCCCCTGCCACCCCACTGCCCGCCTCACTCCTTACCCCCACACCCCACCACAGCCCCCGGCACCCAGTGACCCACCCTGAACCCCCTCCCCTCTCTCCATCCCCCCTATACCTCAGTCCCCCCACACCTCACCCCACCCCCCCCAGCCCTTACGGGGCATCCTGGTGAGGACGTTTCGCGGTGCCCTCCTCCGCCGAGCCGCCGCTCCCCCGGCGGCCGCCTCCTGCTCGGGCCCGGCGTTGACCATGAGGCTGCGGAGCCTCTGGATGCGCTCGGGGTCGGCGGCGGCGGGGCCGCGGCGGGCGGAGCGGGCGGAGGGACCGCGGCGGGCGGCGGCGGAGGAGGAGGAGGCGGCGGCGTTGGGGCGGCGGCCCCGCGGGCGGAGCAGGCCGCGCTGGAAGCTCTCGTACTCGGCGAGGTTGTTGAAGCACGGGGCGCCGGGGAAGGGCAGCGGCGTGCGGGCCGAGTACAGCGCCAGCAGCGGGTCGAAGCGGTTGGAGCTCACGTCCAAGCGGCCGGGGCTCGGCGAGCGCTCGGCCCCCGCCCGGCGGCGCCGCTGCTGCTGCTGCTCCGCGGCCGCCTCAGCTTCCTCCATGGCGGGCGGCGCCCGGCCCGCCGCTAAGGGGCGCTGCAGCGCCGGCCCCGCAAGCTAAGCAGGGCCCGGGCCGGGCAGCGCCGGGAGGGGAGACCGCCAGGCACCGCCCGCGGAGGCGGGGCGCGGGGAGGCGCGAATTAACGGTGAGTTAATGAGAAATTAACGGTGCTGGCGGCGAGCAGAGGCTTCCCCCGCTGCTGCTGCTGCCCTCTGCAGCCGCCAGAGGCCTCTGGCGGTCGTGGCGTTGCAGCGAGCTGGGTCATTCTCCTTTGAGAGCATAGACCCGTTTGTCACAGGACACGGTAACGCTGCGGGGGTTTTACTGTAAGATTCCCCCACCTACCATTAGCCTTTCATAACTGGTTCCCATAAGTTTAATGGTTGTTGTTACAGCAGTATAACATCAGGCCGAGCTTGCTCCCCACCCTCAGGCAGCATCTGTTTCTTCACAGCCCCAAAGAAACTTCATGCAGGAGGACACCAGGTGCTTGATTGAGTCCAGGACGTTCTTCAACCCCCCCTCCACCCCACCCCCAGCATTTAAAATCTATATTTTGGTTCAAAACTCTATATCCATGCATAAATAACGTTTAGCTACTACACATCATTGTCAGCATGAGTTAAAAACATGTAACAACAGAACCTAATACAGACATACCATAATATGTCTCCACATCTATCAGAAAGTCATATGATTAAAAATCCCCACATGACGCTTTTTCAAGGAGGATTGTCATTGCCAAAGTTATTTTCATCTTTGCTCAGAATGCAAAATCCAGACACTACCACCTCTGGAGCGGTTGCTCCCAAGTCAAGCCCTAGATAGCAACATGGCACATCAAAGTCAAGCAAGTCACAGTTGTGCTACAAGACCAAAACACACATACACAAAAACAAACAAACAAGAAAAAAAAACAACAGATGGGAAGTTCCCAATGCTAAATGACTGCGGTGCAATGATTCATTCAGAATCACCACCACACACTCCCTCATATCCTCTTCCTGAGGAATTAAACAGGCCCTTCGACAAGCTAAAACCGGTGTACATTCTCTTATTGCTCAGCATTAGTATACATCGGGGACAGGAAACTGCTATCACGAATGCACAGACTTACCCTCCATTCTCAGAAAAAGGAAGGTTCATTATTAGCTTAACTGTTTGAAACCTTCGCTAATTACTACTAAAAATATTAGTAATGAGAAAGTCAAATAATGAACACAGCAGAGGATAAATCATTAGTTTTTAATATTTTAAAAAGTATAAAAATCCTGTACATTTGACAAAAGCTTTTAAAATCAGCCAAAGAAACTGCTAGGCTTTCCCTTCTGTAAGGATAAGACATTGTGCAGTTGAACAATTTGTTGCTAAGGTCAGTCAAACACAGTGGCCTTGAAATTTAATACTAAATGCCAACTGTCTCTTATCTGAAAGAAAAAAAGTGGTATTTTTTCTTCTGCTTTTAACTGCTCAGATGTACAATTTTTTAATTTTGTTTGTTTTTAATCATTTGGCAGTTCATTACAATACCCAATGATTTAAATGCTATAGAAATAGCTGCCATTTTTATATGCTTTTTCTACAAATATGCAATTACAAGGAACAATTGGTTTATGATGAGTTCTTAACATTTAAAATATGATTTTGGATTTTCCAAATGGATATACATCTATCCTTGTATGTCAGATAACATTCCATTGCCTCTTTTTCATGCAACCACAGCGCTAAAAGCTGCTGTAAAGCTTCTGCTGAAGTTGCTGAAGGGGAATGTAAGTCGAACTGCCAGCCACCGTCCATGCTCCTCAGGTGCCAACAACCCACGCAGAGCAAAACATTAACTACCAATTACACTCAGCAGAGATATCAACTATCCTCAGCCAGAATCTCAGGATATTCCTCCCAGAACTGGTCCCCAATAATGTCACAGTGCAGGGGAACAACTTTAGTCCTAGTCCGTGTCACTTCAATTTCCTGTTCTTCTGTTTCCTTTGGCAGTTTTATTTTCTTGGTCGTGACTTCATTAACCTGAAAATAGAGTCGACGCATTAGCGAACATGTCTGTTTGTGAATCCCCTCTGAAGTCTTACGAGAAACAACTATACAACAGAAATAACCATCAACCCTATAGCATGCTACAGAATTTGAATGATGAATCTTTTCAAAGAATCTATTGTCAGTTTGATGACTAACATGAGTAGCTGGAACTGCACATCATCATCATGTGGCTTGAATTACTACCTACAAGTTCATGTAACTCATTCCAACTATTCCTCAATAAAGTAAAATATTTAATTTGGAGCTACTTAAAGCAAATGGGAAACCTCAAAAGTGTCTAAGATTACCAAGAAAAAAAATAATAAGAGCTGCAATCTTTACTATGTTCTTTTCCATAAGAGGAAAAGTATTAAATATACTATGAGCTGAGGTACTTTTTTTTTTGACCGAAAGTTTCTAGTACCTCTGCAGTGAAAACACTTGAGAACCAATCCTCCGAAGAGCCTGGCACAGGCCCCAGTGATTACCATACCAGTTTAGCTACCCCAAACATGAACATGAAGTACGTGGTAATACAGTTTTTACCTTCTGCCATATTAGGACGGTTCCTTTTCTATACATCAAAGGCTCATTGTTGTAGTTGATGTTGAATTCAGAAAATAAAATTTCATTCTTATCTCCAGCCAGCGTTCCCTGAGAGAAAATTAAAAAAGAACAACAACTGTCAAAGACACAAACAAACAAACAAACCAATAAACATGTTTTTCATCTTTAAATTACAAGGTGCAGTTTCCTTTCCAACTAGAGTAATTATTTCAACAGCCAAACAGGGATATTAAAAAAAGATTGTTGCTTTTTTTTTTTTCCAAATCCGTTTTACATTTTCAAGAGGAATTGGAAAAAGTCAACAAAATTCAGCAGAAAACCAGTAATGATCTGCTGAAATCTGCACACTAAGACAGTACTACAGGAGGGTCTGGAAATCCACAGTATCTGAATCCTCCCGTTTTACTTCTTGCTTACAGATATTAGATGGTCACATGATGTTTTTAAGATTTCTGAACTCACTAATTAAAAAATTAAAGTCCTGTTAGAACTCCAGTTAAAATGCATTCTTTGCTGATCACATGATCATCTTTACAAATTAAAAAAAGTTGTTGAATGTGTATCTGCAAAATGGTTACCCTAAGAAAAGGCAGAGCTGAGTATACAAGACAACTTCGCAAACTGGGTGATTTTCTCTGTACCTAGAAGAACATGACCTCAACAGATTTTTACCTGGAGTCTATCCTGTGCTTGCACTGGTGTCAAACCACTTCGCTGTACAAGCATCCAAAACACCGTATTATAAAGGTTATTAATATGGCCTATAGAAAAATAGAAAGAGATACAGTGTTTACTAAATCTGACCAAATATGCAGAGAAAGAAAAAAGCAACTTCACTTCCAGAATTGTAACCAAAGAGATAGACAGAATCTTTCTGATTCATTTTTAATGTGCCAGGTATCGTTCAAGACCAGGCTGGATGAGGCCCTGGGCAACCTGATCTAGTGGGAGGCGTCCCTGCCCATGGCACTAGATGGTATTGCCAACCCAAGCTGTTCTATGATTCAACGACTGACTAGAAGACAGATTCATGATGCTTCTGAAAAGGGAGAGGTAGAGCAGAGGCAGAAGGGTGCTTCTGTAAGAAAGGTTATTTTAACTTGAACAAGAGGGACTGCGTATTCGTGGAGGCCTACAAAGGAAACCCAACAGTCTGTTTCAGCATGAAATATGCAATGCTTTTGCTATGTGACTTGAATTGTAACATTCAGATATCTCTTCCTTTAAGACCATCTTGGTTTTAAAAACTTATAAAAAAAAATAAATGAATTCTATCACTATTTCCTATGATGAATTCACTGCCAGCATGCACCAATACAGTACTAGTCTAAAGACTTAAAAGTTTTAGCCAATATTTCTGCAAAATCCCAACACTGGGGATCTCAGTATTATTTATAACTATTACCCTACCAAATTGTGCTTTCACTGTTAAGCACATATGCAGACACATTGCCCATAAGGATGTTTCTGTTCAGGAAGACAATTCAACTGCACAGTTCTCTAGAAACGCTTACAGTCTGCTTGTCTCCAGCTGAGGTAGTCCTTTAAGTTCTGGGTGCTGGGATACAGCACAATTCGTCCATCAAATCCTGGTGGGTACAGAAGCTGCTGGTCCTTGAAGTAATCCTTCCAATAGAAAACGTAACTGGAGGCAAACTGCGAGACCACGTGCGTCATGAACTTACTTGCAAAGATAAAGCAAAAGAAAAAGAAAGGAATCCGTCAATATGATTCTATATATCCATGACTTTCTGAGGTATCAATAGCAGTAATTCCCGTGGACAGCATCATTTCTTAAATAACAGTACAAAAGAGCAGCAACAGTAGAGTCTTGTGGAAAGTAAGAAGTACTAGGAACCAAGGAGAAGACTTTAGAAAAGGAAACACTTTGTTAGAATAAGTCTTGTTTTAATCAAAACTTTTAAAGCTCCACTATCACTGAAAACTACAGAAATAATGCATGCGAAGAGTTTGCATGCACTTGAACTACTTGTGGCATATACACCCAAACGTATACCTAAACACAGCCCAGCTCCTAGCCTCTGCGTAGAGATAAAAGCAGATCAAAAGATGGGGAACAAATGACAGATTTACAGAGAGATGTTAAAAGCAATTTCAATTCCGTATTAAAGCAGCTGTTACCTTGCTCTTCTTTTAAACCATTTACTTTTCCTTTTGAAAACAAAACTGTACTCATCGCTCTGCCCATAAGCGATAGCGATATCCTCCAGCTCCTGCATCACCGTCTGGGCACACCTGGTCATCAGGTGAAGAGCGCGGTCATCGTTTGGCTTCTTGAACTCGTGCTGTTCAGCAAACCTTCAAAGCAAAAAGGGGACAATAAGAACCTTTTAAGATGTTAGTCGAAAACGTTAATCTGCTCGTTTTCACCATATTTATTTTCTATGTATATTGATTTGTGGTATCCATGTAGAAACAATGACGAATTGTCTGCAGATAGGCAAAAAATAACGAAAACTAATTTTATGCTTTCGGGATAACGCGTGCTCTGTCCCATCAGCATCTCACCCTGATGAGATATGGGGGGGGCAGCACCCTGGGGGAGGTGTCAGCACCTCAGGGTCCCTTCCTTACCCCCCCCACCCCCACCCCGTCGCCATGGCAACGGCCCCGCACCACGCGCCCCGGCCATGGCTGCCCCCCACCTGTGGAAGTTGCGGCCGTCCAGGCGCACCACTATCCAGCAGTTGGGCAGGCAGGTGTCGTCCGCCTCGAAGTCCCGCACGTACTCGAACTTGCTTTTAGCCATGAGGCAGCGACCGCGGCCCGCAGCCCGCCCGCCGCCCGCTCCGATGGCCGCCGCCGCCGCCCGCCAGCACCCCCGCATGGCCGAGGCGGAACCGGAAGTGCCGTCACCCCCCCCTCCACGGCCCTTCTAGGCAGCCGGGAGGACCTCTCTATGCTCCTAACGCCGTCTCCATAGCGACCGCGTTGCGAGGCGAGTGGGCGGGGCGAAGCGGGCCGAGGCGCGCTCCCATTGGCCGGCGGCGGCGGCGCGAGGGCGCGGCGAGCGTTGGCGGCCAACCGCAGGCGGGCAACGGCCGTGGCGTCATGGAGCGGGGCGGGGGCGGCGGCGGCTCCGGGCAGGGGCCCGGCCCCGGCCCTCAGCGGCTGGGCGGGGAGCGAGGGGAGCCCCTGGCGGAGCCTCCCCTCAGCGCCCAGCGGAGCCCCGTGGGGAGCCGCGGCCCCTGCGGAGGGCGGCAGGGAGCCGGGGAGCTGCGCGGGGGAGCCTCTGGGCGCCCCCCGAACGGCTGCGGGGCGGGGAGGGGGCGGCGGGGATGGGCGCTGGGGCAGCGCGGGGGAGCCGCGGGGAGCCCTCAGGGCGGAGGCGGGCGAGGGGGGCTCCCCTCACGGCTCCTCTCACGGCTCCCCTCCGCGGCCCGCTGCCGGTGGCGGCCTCACGGCGTCGCAGCCCCGCGGGGAGCCCCCCGCGGGTGCCTCAGCGCTGCGGGTCCCGTTGGTGCTGCGGCCGCTGCAGGTGCAGGGCCCGCTGGCCGCCGAGCTGCTCCGCGGGCCCCAGGTGGCCCCGAAGCAAGCGCCGCTGAAAACGCAGGCGCTGCTCGAGCCGGCGGTGAAAATCGAGACCAAAAACGTGCCCCTCACTGTGCTGCCCTCCGACTCAGGTATGGAGGAAAGCAGGGTTGTAGGGCTGCGGCCAGCAGCTGGCAGGCTGAACGTGAAAAAAAAAATGGAAAAAATAACGGTAGAGTGGAAAAAAAAAGATACAGAGCCACCTCTCTGAGTATATCGACACTTGTAAGACTCTAATTCAAGGTAGGGTGTGCGTATTCAGGAGCACAGAGCTCTGGTAGCTGGCTCAAATCAATACAGCTTTGTCTGTTTGCTCCCTGACTGCATTAAACCCCCTCATAACTTCAGAATCACACCGAGTTTTGATGGCAAGTTTAAGTTTAGACATCTGTTGATCCTTAAAATGAAGCATTCGTATGCTTCTCCCAGAGAATTTGGACGTGTTAAGTGACAAACTTCATATCATCTGGATTAAAAGCTTACCCTTTTTGGAAAGAAAAGGCTTTTAAAATTTATACTTCTGACACTTTTGAAACGAATGACTTAAAGTGGAATCCTAAAGATCAAAATACTTCAGCCCCTTATTGATAATGTGGAACAGCAGTCTATTTCTAAGCCTTTTTCAGAGAGGAAATTGCTGAGGGATCAGTGGTGAAAGGTCTGGATGTTCGTAATGTCAGCAGCTCATTTCAAATGCAGTCTGTTTGCAAAGACCTAAAGCTGGGTGCCATGTAAAGCATTTGGTAAAACTGATTCACCCAGCAAATTGAGTGTCCGTATCTGAGAAAAGAGAGAGGAAAAGGTAAATGAATAAATAGAAACCTCGAGCAGCAACAGCAGCAGCTGAGAAACCAGAGATATAACATCATTAGATCCCATCCCAGCATCGTTAGGGCTTTTGGATACGTAGTTCTAGTGGTGAAGACAAATTTGTAGTGATATGTCTGTGCTATACAGTGCTTAATTTATAAATTGATAAGTTACAGAAAACAGTCTAGCCAAGTGGAAACCAAGCTGTCTTTAACAGTCACATATCATATTTTTAAAAATAGATTAAACAACAAAGTCCATGTAAATGATTCCTTATGCAGTGTTTCAGTGGAGGTTATAGAGATACTTACTCCCTTGCACTTTTCAGGAAGTGCTCTCCAAACATGCACTGAGTTTTATGTGTCCCAAAGCTCTAGTAATTCTTTAAACTATTGCCAAATATCCTCTCGATATATTACTGAGTGTAACATGTACCACATATATTGCCTGGAAGATAATCCTCTTTCCTCATTTTGTTGCATAGGAATGCCAGATACTCCATTTAGCAAGGACAAAAGTGGCCACGTAAAGCGTCCGATGAATGCGTTTATGGTGTGGGCTAGGATTCATCGGCCTGCTCTAGCCAAAGCTAACCCGACTGCCAATAACGCAGAAATCAGTGTTCAGCTCGGGTTGGAGTGGAGCAAACTGAGTGAAGAGCAGAAACAGCCCTATTATGATGAAGCTCGGAAAATAAAACAAAGGCACAGAGAGGAATTTCCTGGTAAACATTTATTTATTTATCTTAGTGGTTTAGAAGTGCAGGATTTCTAGAAAAAAAATTATTTATTTTATTAGAGTAAATAGTAGAGTTGGAAAACATGACAAAAATTTCAAGCACTCAGTCATTCTATCAGCTTTATAGTACCTGAAAGCATATTCCTTTCGTAAAGCATCCATAAATGACATGGCATCCTTTATAGCCTCTAAGGTTTCATACATCCTTAGCCCACCACAGCTATAGCATCTCCTGCATGAGTTAAAAGCCTCATGGCTAGATACAGTTTATTCTGAACATGGATACAAAAAGAGCTGCCCGGGTGGTCTGTGGTGATACATGTATCCATTCCTTAAAAACAATGAATGGAAAGTGCGCAGGAAGCACAGATGGCATTGCACTCTGTGTGATTCTTCAACTTTCAGACTGGGGATTCACAAGTAAGAGTGTGGGATATGTTGTTCCTCAACCTTTTGCCAAAAGGATTAAAAATTTGGACCCTTAAAAAATTAATTTGTTCATAGCACTGCAGTTAATTAAAAGGACACTAACAAAACAAAGCACAAGTGTTTGTATTGTGAACACATTGTGAGAGCTGTTGAGACATCAGGTGTCATAATCCTTTGTGATGTCATAATCCTGCTAGTTCACTGTTAGGGTAATGCTGGTAGATAAGACACGATTAATATGTCATAAATAAAAAAAAAATGAAGAGCCGCACTCCCTCCTTGCACCCTTCCAAAAAAAAAAGGGGGTTGGGGAGGGGCTTTAAGGTAGCATTGAGAGTTAGCCTGAGTTGTTAGCCTGTGTAAGAAACAGCTGCTCAGTAAAAAACAATATGTTTAAAAGTCTGCTAGTGCTTTATCAGTGTTGTAAGTCAGAGGCCAACGTACTCCTTATTGCCAAAATCTCTACAGGATTCCCAGTGGGCCATATTTTCCATTGCCTCTTGTAACCTGCAGGTATATGTTAACTTTATAGGGTAAGGAAAAAAATCAGGAAAGATCCACATTTTGAATACAGCCATGGTTTTCTTCTGGACTGGAAGCCCACCATGCAGTGCTGTGTTCTCCATTGCACGCTTTCCTTAGTTGTGCCATGTCACATCCCACTGTTCTGTATTTATGTGTGTCACAAAACAATTTTGATTCAGTAACATAAAAACAGTGCCCAAACGTGTCTATTTTATTTCTTCCTCTGCTAAAATTCCCCATTTGCTAGCTCACTGACACAAATGGAGTTTTGCCATTGAATATTGGAGCAGTTTGGGGACTCTTCTTTCTTTTCTTTTTTTCTTTTTTTTTTTTTTAATACACTTTTTTTACATATTTCAGAATTATGGCTACAGTGGTTTTACGTAAAAAAGAGACCATCCCATAAACGGGGTGTCTGCATCTTTTTCATCTCTGACAGGTTGGGTTTATCAGCCACGGCCAGGCAAAAGGAAGCGTTTTCCACTGAATGTCTCTGGTCTACTTTCCGGCACCACTCAGAGTATCATCACTACAAATCCAGCTGCTGTTCTTCCCTTCCAATCACCTGGATACTCTATTGTCATCCCCACTGTTCAGAACAGTATTGGACATCCAGTCTGTGAGTTTTCAATACTGAATGATTTTTAAAATTAGGAATCTGCCTAGTAAAGTTGCATCTAACATGGAAAGATCCTTTTTATAACCAGTCCGTATGGGCAGTGAAATAGGGTGTGCCATGAAAGCCCACAGGCAAATATAGCAGCTAACCTGCAGCTCCTCACATTTTGTGGTGAAAGAGCTCTGTCTCTGAGTGCAAGGACAGTGGATCACAACAAGTAGCTTTGGTCCAAGCACTGGACCTTTCCTCTTTACATATACTGATTCGAGTGAGTCTAATGAGACAAGAAAACTAAATGCCTGTTTATGCTAGATGGTGGTATTTGGAGATGTAAAAGAGAGCACCCTATGTTGTTCAGGTGAAGTTTTGGCTTAGGATGTGATTCTTTCCCAAATAATTCTGTAAATTTGACTAAATAAGGCATTTTTTTTGTGTTCTTATGCTAGTGTGGTCCTTTGGGAGGTCCTTTGGGGACCAGGAGTTGGACTTGATGATCCTTGTGGGTCCCTTCCGACTCAGATATTCTATGATTCCAAGATTCTATGATATTATGGTGTCCTCACAAGCTACTATGTTTCATTCTAGAGTTTACTATCCTACTGTGGTTGAAATCACTCTTAAATACAAATTGTAAAATCTGGAAGTATTTAAGTCCAGTTGACTCGGAATCTAGACTCCTGGACTAGGGAGTGGTTTTTGAAGACACTAATGCAACATGTTTTGAAATCTTACTGTACAAAGGCAGCCTTTAACATACAACATGATCTCAGGTGTGCATCTGCAAAATGTTTCAGTGAGATTGGCTAGCGGGTGCGTTCATTGGTGAAACAAGTAAGAAAATATATTGGAGAGCTGTGTGTTTAATTACTGCTTCTGCTCCTCACTGCTGCTCTGGCACCATGCAGATTTATTAGGAATTTGGCTTATTCCATCTCAGATGGTAAATGTGGGAGGTGTTCTGAGCTTCAGGCACTAAGTGCACACTCCAGCCCCATTCTGTGGCTATTCCAGAATAAGATACAATCCCCACTAGTCTCACAGCCTCAACACTCACCAGCCAATCCATTATTTGTTCACCGTTTTTTTCTTGTTGAAGGAAGCTTGAGTGTGTGGACTCCAAAACCACCGGTCAGAACATGCATAGGCCAAGTGATGCGTGACTGAGAGTTGCAGGGAAGTGATGCTAGCAAGTGATTTGGAGAATGTGATTTTGGCCCTAGTGATTTTGGTTTCGTTATGCCACTGTTTGTGACATCTCTTCCTTTACTCGTGTCTGATAAATAACTGCTCTGTTTCCTTTTGAAAGGTGAAGCTCTTTCTGCCATCCGTCTGCCAGCTCCTTCTGTTCAACGTCCAGGTCCAATTACCCTTTTCCAGTCTACTTTTGCGAGCACCACATCATTGGCAGTTCCAGCTCCAACCCTGCCCATGCACCCTGTAATTGCATCACAGCACTTTGCTGAATCTGTTCAGACAGGAGCTTGTGATGTATCTTCTGGACCCAACTGCCCTCTGAAGAGACTTACACCAGTTTTTGTTGAGAGCTCCAGTAGAAACTCAAGTAACACAGTCACTGCTCATGGCAGATTTTCCGTTTCTACCATTGAGCTCCCAAAGGAGTACTCAGGGCTTTCTGCTTGTCCTAGAGGAGTACCTCTTTCCCAAGCTACTCCTCTTCCTCACTCACGTCTCTATGAGAGTCCTCCCATTGGGCAGCCAGTTAATCTGTTTGGAGCACCTCCTCGATTTTCATTTCATCACCCTTACTTTGTACCTGGACCTTACTATTTCCCCTCAAGGTAATGCAATCCTTAGTTTCAATACCAGCCAGATTAAGTGCTAAAGGGCTTCAGTTTTCAGAAAGTAGATGGAGCTTTCAGTTCTTGAGGCAAGAATGCAGTGCTAGGAAGGAGAGGTGCTCTTACCTTCCTATAGCTCCTCTGTGGTTGGACCTACTGGCCTGAGGCTGTTTGTAACACATGCCCAGTTACTGAAGGCTAATTTATATATACTAAATAAATACTAATTTAATAATTGGCACTCCCAAGCCCACGGTAAATAGAAGTATCCTCTCCCCACTTTGTGCACCTCAGATGCACTATATCTGATTTTGACAGAAAAGTGTTAGGTAGAGATAGTGTAAATATATTTTCAGAATGATCAGAGTCAGTTTAAGTAGGTGTGTGAGATGTCTCCAGCTACTATGATTGCAGCTGTCATAACTACCAGTATTTCTGAAATTCAGCCTAGTGGGAAATGTCTTCAGAATTCTTACGTAAGTAAGTAGTCCTTGCTAGTTTGTCTTTGCAGTCTCCGGGAAGTAAATGAGAGAAAATCACTTAATCAAAGAACTTACAAGCTAACACATGCAATATCCTGTGGGTATTTCCAAAGCTAAGTATGCATAGAACGTACCAATGTCCTCACACTCAATTTCTGTAACACCATGTAGATTATATGTGTGTCATTTTGTCATCAAAATTCCAAGAGGACACAACAACGACAGTTATATTTTGGCTTAGTAACTTCTTGCAATCTACTATATATATGTGTATTTATTAGTAGCAATCACTGTAAATTCCTTAAATATATTGACAACCACATACTGGGCACAAAGATTTTTCTCTCAGTCCACGCGTTTAACAACAACTTAATAGACACAAGAGGTCATTCAAAGAATAAAGAAGAGTGTTTTACCCTAGCTCTGTCACAAATTTTGGTATATAGAAGTAACAAACTGATTTTGGATACTTCATCTTACCATTCTGAGCATGTACATTACTGTACTACAGGCTTACCTGATTCTATTTTATCCTGCATATTATTTAATTAATATATATAAGAAAAAAAGATGACTAACTTAGAAAAATGAGCGCCATTCTGATTGTCTTAGCTGAATGGAAATCTAGGCAATCTGCATTTCTGAACAACGCCTTCAATCTCTTTCATTGCAGCACGTGCCCATTCAGCCGGCCTCCATTTGGCTGTGGGAATTTCTCCAGCTCAGTGCCAGAATGTCTTGGCTGTTACGAAAACAGGTACCAGACACAGGAGATGAAGTTTTCGGTTCTGGACAGAGACTATCCTTTCAGGGAATACCCAGAGGAAATCGTACATCAGGACTCACACAACTGTGAGAGCCTGGAGGAAGTGACCTGTCGCAGCAGCCGCAGTGAGGAGGAGTGTGTAAGCCCCATGCCACAACTGGATATTGGAGCAATTGAGAATGTTTTGTCAGCCACCCCGCCTACTCCTTCCAGCATCCAGATAGTCAATGTGACTGACAGTGACGAGGAGGAAGAAGAAGAAAAGGTGTTGCGAGAGCTGTAATTCTTAAAACAAACGATAAGCCAAGGAAATACAGAATTGGAAATAAATCTTTTTGTCAGTATCATCTTCAGAGTGTGTTCAATGGGAAACCTATGTAGCTTGAGCAACCTGTGCATGTCATTTTGAGGACTCTGATGATCTGTTTGTATTTTCAGAGGTCACATAAAAAACTGGGGGTGTGTAAAAGCCCCTGAATTTCACCTGGTTCATCAGGGCATTGTTTGGACTCTAGCTCAGGAAATTGCTTACACAGGAACTTAGCTCTAAGCATGTGATAATGTACTTTCTGAGGAGAGATATGTTTAAGCACATCCTTATAATGCTCCTCTGAATCAGGATACTGCCTTTTATTGTTCACAGACATTGTAATGGTATTTGCTGTAATTTTGTAGGTATTACTTTTAGGAGTTTTAGCAAGAGAAATAATTCTGTTTTATGACTGTAATGTAATTCTTAGTACAGTAAAATACTATGAGGCCTGGAAAGTGAAGTCAAGAATGATTCTGCAATGCTTTATATTTTTGCTTTGATAAGTCAGTTTTAAGCTTAATTTGGTTAATTTTTAACTCTACTCTGCATTTGTGGTATGAATGTTATACAATGCACTGAAAATTTAGATTGGTTTCGGTAATATCTTAGTCTGTAGCCAGTTCCATTAATGAAAATGGATTGTCCAGAAGGTATGGGGAGGTATGGTAGCACCCAGAGAGTGGAAAGTGGATGGGATCTAGCCCTGTGACTTACACGAATGGATTGTGACGTGATCCCTGAGTGTAGTTATTACTGTAAAGAATTATCCATAGAATACCAAATTCTCTGAAGAATATCAAAGGCTTTTAATAGAAAGAATATCTGTACTGTACTCAAAGAGTAAAGAAATTCAAAAGTTTTTGACCAAAATATGTAATTAATGTTACTAACATTTATTTTTCTGTTTTATGAAAGGGAGGTCATTTCTTTCTGGGAATCCTGTTATTTTACTGTTGTTTATTTGAATAAACTCACCTGAACAACAAACCAATAGTGTTTCATTTTAAGCCATGAACAATGGAACTGAGTGGGAATGTGTAATTCATGATTTATCTAACTCGAAGACTTACAGTGCAGCTAAACTGCACATGCCTAGAACGACTACCTCAAATCATTTTTCTAGACAATTTCTGCAACTAACGGAAGTGTATCCATATATGTGTGTGTACGTATATTTGTAATTATGTAAATCCAGCTACCACAGAAATATGGGAAGGGCTAAAAACCGCAGAAGGAGAAGTACATCCATGCTGGGCTGGCAGCGTTCTAAGAAATGATTCAGAAGAAGCTACACGGATGTCTCATCCCGCACATCCTGTCTTGTGTAGGCTGTCACACCAGACCTGCTGCACCTTGACTGCCCTGTCTAACCTAACACTTAGGCCCCCTATATCCATCCACTAGGACAGCATTATTGATAAAGGCAGGTACCAATGAAGTTTCCATATGCCTCAAAAGGTAAGCCTAAATCAAGGCAGAGTAGATATCCTTTGGGGTTCTTTGCATTTTAGCTTTTTAGTCTTACATCAACATTTGAATGCTTCTCTGGGCTCTTAGCTCCATTTCCAAGCTTAAGATCATTTGTGAACCACTGCATTTTGTAGTTAAAGACCACATGTAAAAGTATGGGTAAATGCTGCCTACACTACATTGCAGCTGTGTTGTAAACAGCCCCCAGCTCCTACTGCATCTGTAATGCAGATGAATTGTTAAGAAGAAAGTCTTATAAATAGTAGAAAGTGTCTGTTACTAAATTATCTTCTCACTGAAAGCTGATCTGGCCTGTAGGAATGCATGTGGGCAAACAGACTAATTCCTAAACAAGTACGTTTCGGGGTATAAAACAGCTGTTGGTGGGATTATTCTCTAGATCCAACTTCTTTCCCCCTTTTTTCCTTTTTATACACAATGGAATAGGATATAAGACATACTGCAGTGCATATTCTAGTGCAGAATCCAGAATGGTTGCTTTCCAGAAAACAATTCACATTTACTTTGTCCTATATGGGGTGTCCTGAACTGTTTAAAGGGAAATGCCTCCGAGCTGCTCAGTTGTACCCAGTGCTAATGGTGAAGCTGGTGCTGACGTACATGAGCTTCAGTGGGCCAAGGGATTCAGCATTTGCTGTGCCAGGTCCATCTGCTAATGGGATCTTTGCTGCTCCTTTAGCAAAACACAGTATTATACCCTCAGTGGAAATCTGCTCTGTTTAATACCTCAAAGGCCATAAGAAGAGAAGACTGAGGTTTAACACATCCTGGATATGTCAGTCTGAAACAAAATGTAGGGCTGATCTTTCCCGTCCTTCCAGGTAGAGCTGAAGTCCTGGATCAGTTATATGGGATCTGTGTCTGCAGAACTACAGCACTGGACCCAGCCATCTCTGCTGTTAATCTACCTTAATCTAAACTAAAAATCACCTTGTGTGCCTCTCAAATTGATATATATATATATCAGATGCAGATATTCCAAAGTTTGTTTTCCTCCTTCTTCTAGAAAAGTCTCAAGATATTTAGTAGTGCTTCTCGGTGTGCCCACTGCCTGTGGCTGTTCTTTTGCAGAGATGACTTCCTGCTCCAAAGTTATGGAACATTTTTATGGCCTTGATGTTATTAAAACCCTTATGTTATTATACCCATTCCTCTTCTTATGAGAGTAAACTGCTTCGGTATATTCACTCTCAGAGAAAACACAAGCTTGGAGAAGTTTGCAGTCAGTGTGGAGAGGACCACAGTGCTCGAAATATACAAATACAGTCAAAGAGATGCAGCGTGTCAGCACATCCAGCCTCGTACCATTAGGTCCACTTGGCTGTAGGAATGAAGCAAAAGTAGCAGCAGTGGCCCACCCTTAAAAAAAAAAAAAGCGTAGGGAGCATTTTGGTAGGATTTCACTAGCAGCACATCGGGACAAGCCCTTGCCTGGTACCTGATCATCTTACAGCACTGCTCCCTCTTTGGCAGGGCAGCTGCTCTAAGGCTCTTCCAAGTATTCCTGCTATCCTACGGGCACGGTGGAAAAGCAAAGCTAAACAGGAGATTCTGGGGCTGCCGAAGACATTCTCTCAAGTGCTAAGGCCTGAAATAATGACGTTTGCTGGTAAATCACCAGTTCCCGTCACAGACCCACAGTCTTCCTCCTTTGATCATTTCAAGTGATCTGAAAGAGGAAAAATGTTCTGAAAAACAGAAGATTTCAAATTTCCCCCAAGTCAGGCAAAGACATAATATTTCTTTCTTTGGTGCAAGTGCCTGAAATGTAGAGGTTGTGACGGAAGACAAAACGTCTTCCATCTTCTCTTTCTAAGAGTTTGATTTTTGGTAACATTTCCTCCAGCGTCAGCAGAAGGCTTTCAAGAGCAGTTCATTCAGCAGCTTTTCCTATTTCTGAATCGAGAGTTCCAGTGAAATATTACTGAACATTTAGTCTGATAGATGTCCAAGTTATTCTCTACATAAATCTGTTTCTTTAGCAGGCACTCTCCAATGTGGGTCTACCTCCCTCTTTCCTTCTAAGTGGTTAACTCCTAATTTACTCCTAAATTACTATGGACGTAAGGGGAGAATCAGCATCCTTGGCTTTCCAGCCAACAATAATAGTGTTAAAGTGGGGAGTAAGTGCAGAAACCCCAATGCAAAAGCATGCTCAGCAGCTTTGACCTGGGCAAACTGAAACACCTGATTTCCAAAGGCTGCACACACGGCCCCTTGCTCTGGGTGCTGTCTGGGGGGGGTGCAGCTAATAGCTGTATCCTTGCCTTGATCACAGGGATGTCAGAGATAAGGAACAGACTCCCAAATTCCCAGCTGATACTTTTAATCAGGAAATCAGGTTTCTGGAGGAAATGAGCTTAAGCCTTTGTAATTCCCAGATAACCGAAAGCTTGATCTTGCTCTGTGAATCAGGCAAATGTCCCATTAAGTTCAGCAAGAGCTTTTTGAAGAAATAGTCCAGGGCAGGATCTGACTCATCCCGTGCCAGAGGCAGGTAGCGTTACAGCTTCTGAGTGCTGTTAATAGGGCTAGAATACCCCAAATCTTTCCATGCAACCACGTCTGAGCAATGTAAGTGATATATCATATAAATATAGATTAAACTATTTATAACAACAGCACAGTCTGTGGTTATATTTTTATAGAGGGAGTTTCTGGTGATTATAAATTAAGATATCAATTCTCATATTACTAAAACCCAGTGATAAAAATATCACTATATAACAAATGCAAACACTGCACAGATTTTATTTTCATGATACCTGAATGATGACAGAAATCACCAACAGCTAGTTATTGGTCCAAGTATTATAAAATTTTAAAGTAAAGCAAATAATGCTCCTTTCATTCAATGCATTATTTATTTATTTATTTATTTATTTATTTTGGACTGATCTTCTTATTGAGAAATACATGGAGCAACCCCTGCGGAGATTAGTAATATTGGTAAGATTTGTGACAATCTTTCAGTGCAAGCAAATATCTTCCTCTTCAAAGTTTTTTTTTTTTTTTTTTTTTTTTTTTTTTTTTTTTTTTTGTGTGTGTGTGTGTGTGTGTTTGTATTTTTTTTTCTTCTTAGGATAGAGGGAAATTTAATTCAGGGATGAAAGCAGAATAGCTGTCTAAATTTGGGTTACATATTTACTTATTCATAATGTTACCTTCAACATACCCCACATATTTAGGAAAGAGCTGATCTGTTCCCTGAATTTTTGCTCTGAGAAAGGGCCTGATTTGTGTGAAGACAACGCGTGACCAGGCTGTGGGTCTGACAAAAGGTCATTTATGGCCCACTCACCCTGGCGAGTCCCTCTAGGGCTCTCCAAGATGTCCTCGCTTTCTTCTGCCAGAGCGATACTGGAAGGACGCAGACCTTCACAAGACGAAGGAGGTTTCTCAGCTCAGCGTGCGAAGTGCTAGGGGAGAGAGGGGTCATGTAGGACTGCCATAAAGCAAAAGGGGTCTGCAGACATAAACGTGCACATTTCCTGTGGGCACAGTTACAGGAAAAAGCATAGACCTTCAATAAAAGAGAGCTCAATGGTTTCAAGAGCATATGAAAACCCCTGGACAAGAGACAAAAGCATTAGTGCTATCTGGCCAGCCTTTATTCTAAATGGATTGTTAATTTCCTATTGGCCTCTCTGAATTAAATATTTCACTCAGAAATATAGCGAGGTGAAATTTCTCCCCATGTCTCATGCTGCTTTCCTGGTGGTTCACCTACACAGGCACTTGAAGTACAGAGCTGGATGGAAAGGGTTTCATGGATAATGCAGGTGAAGACTATGACTAGCAGGTGATGCCTTTCATTGTATCACCAGCCCAGCCCAGTAAAAAAATAAATAAATAAGGGACTTCAGTTCACCCTCACAGCCTTGCTAGCATGCCTGCAGTTTGAGCTGGCTGGCAGTCAGAGCAGAAATAACCTGATATAGGGCAGGGAGTTGTCTTTCATGGGCTCAGTGTGAGCAAGGAGCATCTTCGGCACCCAGGGTCGGGGGACTCCCCTCAGCAGAAGCAACATCAGCCAGCTCGTGCTCTGCCTTGGGGCAGGGCTGGGGGCTGCCAGCACCTTTTGCACCAGTGTCCCTGTCCCTGTGTCCCAGCCTGGGCTGATGCCACCTGGAAATGGGCTCATCCCCCTGAAATGCTGAGATCCCAAAGAGCTGGTGCATGGAGGACACAGCCCATAGGACAGCCCTGAAGGGTGCAGAAGAAGACAGGGACACCCCTTTGGGAGCCTCACAAGAGTGAGTGGCCATCCCTGAAGGGCAGCACAGGGCCTGGGAGCTGTGGGTGCTCCCAAGCCCTGCCTCACCCCCAGTCCCTCCATCTGCCTAAAGGGGAGGGAGGCAACGAGGTTGGTTTTGCTTCTGGTCAGCATAAATCACAGCCTGCATCCCTTCAGCCGCCCGCTGGCAATGCATTACCCTGGAGAGAAGGGATTTAGGATGCCTCTGGGGACATGGGTTCAGCCGTGAAGGGGCTGG